AAGGGGGGATGACGGACGACAACGACACCCACCAAAAAATTCCCCCAACCCCCAACAAACTCACAGGGATTTATAGAAAAATAAGACTGGTGAGGTTACTGACTCCATTGTCTCCCCTAAAGTGAAGTTCTGAGATTTTAAAAAACGAATGCTTATTTAGGAAGATTAAGTTTGTTTAGGTCTGAAAGTCTGGTTTTGTGTTTCTTCTCAAGGAAACAGGATTTCTGGAAAGACACTGAGTTGCATTTTTCAAAAAAATCCTCTCTGTCTTATGTGTCCTCTTTTGAAGCATTTGACTGGAAGAGCAAAGCACAGTGCTAACACACAGTGCAAGGAGCGAAGGAGAGGAAACACGTGCCAAGGTCACCTCCTCAGCGGTAGCAATGGCAAGCTTCACAGCAGTGATATAGAACCTCCCTCTGATACAGCTACTTTTTAAGAGCTATAAAAATCCAGAGCAGGCACACATTAATTACAGCAGTTCAGAGATAAGCGCTGCATGTCAGTCTTCACAGCAGGTGACTGAAGGGCACGTAGAGTGTATGGGAGAAAAATGCCCATGGACAGAGTTAGCTAAAATATTTTAGTTTTTATCACCTCCAGGTTTGTCAGTGGGCAGCACAGATGGTTTGCAGCTGGAAAGCCAGTCGGTGTGCTCTTAAGGAAGTAACGTGGCCTGTGTCATGAAGCAATGTGTACCATGAGGAAACCTTTCTTCCTGACTAGCCTAAATCTCCTTTGTTGACATTTAAGTCCATAATGTCCTGTCCTAACTAGATTAGAAAGCAGACCATTAAAATCCCCCTCCTCTTCACCACAATATTTTTCTTATTTATCTCCCTGGCTCTCAGTTCTTTGTTTCCCCTGAGCTAGACAAACTCAGTTCTTCTGGGCTTTGATCGTAAGCCACATTTCCATGTCGGTGTGCCCTGCACAGCACAGGACTCACCTTTCAGAGTGGCAGGTCCTGAGCAAAAGAGGAAGTGAGGAGGACAAGGACTCATCTGGGCTTCCCTCAGCTCCTTTCCCGACAAGTTTAGGGCAAGGCAGGCTGAGAGATGATTGAAGTTATTACCCTAGTGCAAACCTGCTAGCTACAGCAATTTCTCTTCCTTGTCACTGCTGCACAGCCCATCATGAGAAATAAGCTTTTGCTATGAACCTACCAACTAGCCACAGCTGGCAGTGAAACACATCCAACTAAAGGATGATGGCTAGCAGGAAGTCTATTTGGTTTTAACTGGCAATTATTCCAGTGAGGTGAAAGAGATAACCCACCTCTTTTAGCTCTTACATCTATCTACCTGTATTTACTCCCTGACTTCCTTGTCCAAAGTTGTAGCAGGGCTTCCACAATGCTGGTAGCAAGAGCACCCTCCAATATTCCACTACACACTGGAAACCCCAAAAGCAGTGCAGTGGAACTGGGGGCATGGAGCTAATGGGGACAGAGCCCAGCAGCATTAAGAGTCCTAATGCCCATTTACAAGGCAGTGAAAAAAAAGGTATTTGGGTATTCTTGAGGGTCAAATACTCAGCACCACCTACGGCTATCATGCACAGCACATGCAGTTTTCTCCTCCATAACCAATTTGTCAAGAGACAAGCAGTCTAGTCTGATATTTTCCAGGGGTCTGTAAGGATTTCTTAAGTTCCAATTTTACTGCTTGGACTGACTCTTCTTTTAGTATGGGGAAAATATCAGTAAAATGGAGCTGATCTATAAGACATCAGCACAGCACTTTGAGATATGCAGCTAAAAACCAACTAGTATCACTACCCATATATCACAGGAGAACCAGACAGGGAAAGTAGAGGGTGTAACACTTTTAAAACATATGGAAAACATTATCTGAATAGCAAAAATCTGGCATAAAACTATACACACATAGCTCAGATTTGGGCTCTCCACAGCCCATACTAGACAACTAGGGATAATGATTATTAATTTATAGTGCACTGAAAGGGGGTCCCACTCTCATTTTCACACAAACACCAGCAGCCAGTCCCTCTGCTTTTATTTATGGCTAAAAGTCCTGGACAAACTCAAGGCACAGAAGAAAAAGGGAGGAGCAACTGGCAGATCTCAGCTGATGCAAAGTACTGTTTGGTGTTTTTCAAAGGACAATCAATTGGACTTGCTGTTAATCAGTGTGAAACAGATACATGTCAGATCCCCCCAGAGTGTGCTACAATGCGAAACAGCTTCTTAGAGCAGCAGTTTTGTGTGGAGGGAGTTTGGACAGGCAGTTTTTCTCTTCAGCCTGAATTTCTGGCAGCTGCCTAATACCTTCTTCCCAGACTTGTCACATTTGTGCTGAGATATATAAATGTCTTTTCTTTTTTTGCTCCTTAACCACTGCACAGTCTTTCCCCTTTTTAAGCAAAGATAGAAGCCATATTTTATATCATCTATAGCTGAAGCTGGAGTTTTTCAGGAAATGATTTCTTGTTATCTTAAGATGACATCTCTATTTTACAGTAAAAGGCTCCATCCTCTTTTTTTCAGTTCTCTTTACACCTCTCATCTCAAAACCCGAATTTATCCAAGAGCTTGCAAAGAAAAATAATAAAAGATAGTTTTGCTCCATTTCCTGGTGACCAACACCACCAAGACCCCAGGTAGTATCACACTGGCTAATTCAAGACAGAAACAAGCACTGTGACAGTTAGGTGGTAAGAGAGGATGCAGCACTAACCTTGGCGCAGAAAGTCCTTGCCACAGCTGCCTGCTCTTCATGGTGGAATTCAGTGACAGGCGGATCTGTTTTCATTCCATGCATGTTTATTTGGCTTTTTGGATATTTTTCCCTTCCTAACATTAACCATGTTGGTTCTCTTGCATTACCATCTCTACCTGTAAAAGCATTTAACAAAACTACCTTGATGTGGGGCCAATAGGAGAGGGCACACTGTGGCTCCCTTAATAACTCACAGAGAAAGCTGGATAATTCTTTGCGCTTACTTCAAACTGCTTATCCCTTTCTCCAGAACAACGTAACCCTAAGGATGGGGAAAAGCCCTTATGCCAATATGCAGCACTATGTAGAAATGAAAGGGGTTTAAAATGGCCCTTATTCCCAAACAACATGAGGGGGATGACGGTTTGTGTCAGCCTGTGGGAATGAAGAAGGCGGTATAGGTGTGGACTACTGCGGAGGCCTGAAGGAAGGAGGAGATCAAGGAACAGTGATGAGAACTGACCTGCCGATTCAGAATAGAGGTGCCTCTAAAACACTACTGAACACTGCACACTGGTGAGGGCTCCTGGTGACTCATTGTTACAGAGACTCCTTCTGCACGTGCAAAAGGCCCAGCTCCTCAAAGGCATTTTTAGGCACAGGACCAGGGCAAGTCCTTCTTGGTGCTTCTCAGGGCTAGTCATGCTGCCTTCACCGAAAAAAACCCACCAAAACCGCATTACAGAGAGTGTAGAGGTCCGATACTCCCTAGGGAGCCAGAGCAATAGAAATGCAATAGGAAAATAGCTTCCCATGCCTGGCATTAGTGAATACCAAACAGACAAAAATGCAAGATGCCCACAGGGATGTGTTGTCTTCAGTCCTGTCAGTCATGCATATGACAGCTGGGACCTTTAAAGACTGTCAAATGAGGGAAACTAAGGCACTCCAAATGCCAAGTCTGTCAGCAGCATAATTAAGATGTCATGTATAGTCTGCTCAGAAATGCAGCACTTACTGCACCTCCAACTGCCAGACTATCAAAAATGTTGCTTGGCTGGTAATTCCTGCACCTTGTAATATTGTCTGAGTTACTGCAAAAACAAGAAAAAGGCAAACTGTAGTGCTCAGGAAGACAGAAATCAGTTTGTAGCCCATGGAGGAAGGCAAGCTAACCTACCAGAGGGGCTGTTGGTACTCCTGCTTCAGAGGAGTGTCTCTGAAAACATGTACCCAGTCATATTCTTAGAAAAGCACATCCATTTCACATGGGCAAAACACCTGAAACAAGAATGGAGGAAAGTTCTGAAGTGAATTCATAAACCAAGACAGGTTTGGGGACCTCAGCAGCTGAGCTTGCAAGAACCAGTTTGAGGGAGATGGCATCAAGCACCAGGTAAAAGGGAAAATTTCTCTCCCCCATCTGACAGCATACCTTGGGCAAACTTAGAAATGTAGTGTCAAGTGATGGAAAGAAAAATCCCATACTGTGAAAGCCATCCCACACAGAGAGGCATGGCAATTCTCTCCCTCCGCAAACAAAATGGATGTACATAGTTTAGTGCAGGAGGGTCCTGGTATCGTAAGATACTTGGGGCAACAAATGCTTACGTTGAGCAAAATCCAAATTTGTATTTTAAAAAAAGGTAGATCTGTAGCCATCATGACTGACCAGCATGACCAGGCCAAGGACAGCACCTGAATCCACTGAGAGCCTCAGAACAACAATTTAAGTATACGTGAGCAAACTTGCTATCACATTGCTTAGAAGTACAGTACCACTGCCAGCATGGGCTCTTCCTCAGCTAATTTCTGACAGACAGATCAGGGAACACACTGGAAAGGGAAACTCAGATGGTGAGGTCCAGGTGTTAGTGTAAGCTACAGTGGACTCATAAGGACAGGGTGAGACATAGGGAAAGAAGAGAAAAAGCAGGCATGCAAGAAAGGAAAAAAGAGCTTCAATAGTGGTAAAAGAGAAAATTTTTACTGAATAACAATTAGTGATGAAGACATACAAGAAAGTTTTATCTTCAGACTAGCAGAAAATTTAAAATCATGATCATATAAAAATAATCTATTTCTGCACAATAAATATATCACTTCCCTTCCTCTTTCAGGTTGACTAAAAATGATGCAAGTTAAGGATATCTTACAAACAACAAAGAATCTTATTTAAGAAAATACTTATGAAGTTTTCCTTGCAAATTTCTATTTCTGAACAAGTAATTCGGAAAAAAAAAACCACAAAATTCTCCAATGATATCACCAACTTCTTAAACTTTAGAGGACCTGTAGTCTAATTCTTGTCTCAACATCATTTTCTTGTCTCAACAAACAGAAAAGACAGAAGCCCTGTAGTGAGCCCATCGGTTCCATTAAACAAGGACAGCTTCATCAGGAGTTCCTGTATCTGAACAAAGGGAAGCAGTACAAAGAAGCGAGGTGGACACCTTGTACTCCTGATCATTGAAAAGGAGTTTCTAAGCCGTGCAAAGAGCTCTCGCCACCCTGATCAGATGGCACTAGACAGGAGATAGCAATATCTGAACACATGCTTTGGAGAGAAACAGTTATACCCAAGCTGTTGCTGTAGACAGGAGGCTCTTGCCGAGATTATAATCAGCTGTGTGAATAAGCACAGAGATAGAACAGATTTGGCTAGATCAGTTTTTGTTAAAACCTGCCAGTGGTACAGGAAAGGAATAAGATTGCCCTTATAATGAAAATGGTCTCATTTGCAGCTCTGTGATAAGTAGTATTTATCATGAATCTTTGATTCCTTGTGCTCAGGCTGCCACTGCAGCTCCTCTGGGATAGTATTAATGTACCATTTCTCCATGGCTCCTACTTATCTCAAACAGTCTCTGCTACAAACAGGTTTTTCACCTCGGCCTGTGAAATATCTTGAATTATCTGATAAGGGAGAGTTTCAGCCACGATCACAGCAGGTCCATGATTCTGTCCAAATGTTATAATAAAATATGGGTCAGCTGTGCTATACACAGTAGTGTGAAGTATGATAAGAGTTTTACTGAAACTTCTTTACAGAGACCTATAAAAGTTGAGCATAGCTTCATCCAAGAGAAGCACACTCATCTCATGCAATCAAAATCATCAAGAGTGATTTCACAGAAAGGGCTATGTTTTTTAAAAAAGTTATATTTAACTAAGATCTAACAACAGGCAAAAACCATGATTATTTAAGAAAGACAGCAGCACATTTTAAAAACCAACAGTAATAATTAGCATACACTAGCTTATATTTTCAAAGCATTTTACAAAAACATGAGTTAATTAAGCCTCACAACACCCTTGTGAGATATTTAAGTAGTATTAGTCCCATTTTAGAGACATGGAAACAGGCATAGAAGAGTATGACCTGTTCACCACCACACACATCAAATCCAGGAACAGAACACCAGGTTTTCCAGTTTTCTGCCACACATGGTCTGACCTCTTAAAAGATGCTGGTCTTTAAATGACGTTTGTTTCCTCTCATCCTTTTTAAGACACCTGACCTCATTTCAGTCTGCTATGAAAAGGTACCCACCAAGAGCTATTCATAAGAAACAAGTGGAATTACGAAAGGACGTTTTTTCATAGACTGTGTTGCTGGAAGCTGGGTACTTCCATACTGCCAGTCAGTGTCACTTCTCATCAGGCACCTGCCACCAGGAGACTCATTGAGGCCTATCTGACATGCTGATGCAGCTCAGAATCTGAAAAAAAAAAAAAAAAAAAAGAAAAAGAGAGAAGGTAATGTTTCTTTGCCACTTCCAAACAAGGAATCTCTCTCTGACAGCGAGTCTTCTCTGAGCAGAAGTCATATGACAACAACTGCACTGAAAGTAAAGACAGACTTTTATCAGGAGACTCTCAAGGTGCAGCCAAGGGTGCAGATGTACCTGTCAGAAAACCTGGAAATGTATCTATATTGTGCTCCTCTTTAAGAGAAACGGTCTGGAGGCATCAGACATCCTGGGGCGTAGAAAATAACTCTCCATAGTCACTTTGAGAAGACAAGTTCCCTTAGCATATCACTCTTACACTGAACTAGTCGGTGACACACTAGGATTAAAAATTCCAAACCACATGAAAATTCAAGTCACTGGATTTAACTCTATAAAACACCAGATCTGGCAGATCTACTGCTGCCTGTTTGCAAATGCAGGCCCAGATATTAGTGGAGACAGAAATAAAATAGTCCTTCCACCTTCAGTTACGTACATCCATTAGACACTATCTGGAGTCCAGGAAATCAGTTTCATGACAGCTCGATCTGAAGATCCTCCCCATACTTTCGGATCAGCTTCATGTGGTTATGGTCCACTGACCATTGCTCTGGGAGGTGCTTGGGCTGCATGCTGTCCAAGAAATGCTGCCGCCAGCGTCTCTCCAACTGCATAAGGGAGCGCAGGCCTCCTTTAGCAAAACACTGCACCACCTTCAGTCCATGCGGCATGTAGCTCTCATTCCAGATCCTGCCAGGACACAAGCAGAGTTTATTTTCACACAAACCCACTGTCAGACCCTAGACTTGTCTCCAGTGAACAGCATGACACTGAAGATACTCTCAGCTGCAGAATTTAATTGCAGACACATGGTAAACTAAGCAAGAGGGAGAGTTTTAAGCTTTGCTTCAATGCCAGACTGCATTTTTGGAACACAGTTACACTGCGAAGCTGGCTTCTTTGAACGGAGAAGTGTTATTCTTTTATAACAATACTATACACAAAGCTCTCAAGGTCCATTACAAACTCTTCAGGAGACAGACTACAAACTTCTCAAGGCAAGAACTGTATGACACTCCAGATCCTTGATCCTGCTGCCGAATTCCCTGCCTGGATAGGTACTGAGTTATAACACTGGCACATTACAAACAACAGTGAACAAGAAGAAAATACTGATTTTGTGCAGACAGAGGCCAGATACTTATTAAAAATAGATATTTGGGAAGACTTTGAGAAAGAGGAGGAAGGAGACTTCTGATATGATTGTCTTTCAGTCTTGCTCCCTGATCTGTCTTTCAGAAGATGTACAAAATAGTGGAGGGGATGATGGAGAGCAAGAACGTAAGGAGATTGCTGGAAGAGAAAAGGAAAGAGGGGAAGAAACAAGAGCTGCAGTTCACAGACCACTGCTGCTTTAAGGGGAGAAAGGAATATATAAAAACAAAAACACAGTCAGAAATGCAGAGCGTGCTTTTCTGATTAGAGCCTTAGGCTACAGCACAAACAATTGTCTTCTTCCTATCCTTGCGTTCTAGTTAAATTTATCAAAACATAAATCTAGACTCTGCAGGCTTATAAAAGTGATAAAGTTATGCTCACAACATAAAATAAATGAGCCTCTAAAAGGCTCATTTTTCTTGTGCACATCAACTCTGACTAGTCTCAAACTCCTTAACTCGACGCCATTATTTTAGGGAAGATACATCAATATCCCAAGAACAGCAATGGATTTTGTCTTATTTTCATTAAAAAACTTGTGGGCATGAGCAGAAGTCAGCATGTGTGATCCTCAACTCTGCAAATCCTACTGGATCTTCTTTTATATTGCTGCAGTAATATTTACCCAAACCCTGTGTGTAGACAACTTTCTGTTGAACTTACGTGACAACATAAATGACTAAAATGTCACATTTACTGATGGGCTTGTCATACCTGGTTTCCAGACCAGCTGCTTCCTGGAGTATCTCTGGGGTGACTGCCTCTGTGTTAAAGAAGTCCTTGATGCTTTGCAGAAGTTCTGCCCTTCGGGGGTCAGGCAGGCTGTCTGCATTCAGCAGGGCCTGAGCCCCTGAGCGCACTTGCCTGCGCAAAGGGTCTTCCAGCAGACGCACACCCTCCTCAGAGCCGATGGGGGCACCAAACTCCTCAGCCAGCTGTTGCTTGAGATGGTTGTCATAGTAATTGGAGATGGCATGGCAGGACGTGCAGAGTAGGAGCACATCGTGGGAGTTGTGGTCTTTCATCTGGATGGGGAAGTGTCTTCGGTATTCATGAGGAACAACGTTCTTCCTAGGGAATATAAACCAACAAGCTCATTACGTTTGCCTGGAGCTGCCACTTCCCAGTTCCTCCTCATCCTGGCCCACAAAGGGTCAACTAATACTAAAAGTCCAGGTAAACAAAGATCACCAGGGTCAGGACCCTCAGCACAGCAACACGTTGTGCAACTTCTTTCTATTTGTACTTCTCTCCACAGGTTTTCCACATTTCTCTTTTTTTTCCCTTCCAAAAATTAATCATTTTCAATTTATAAAAACCCTGATTCATACTGAAAAAAAAAAAAAAAAAAAAAAAAAAAAAAAAAAGCAATGCACTATAAGAAGCATACCTCTCAGCTAAACAGTAGCAGCTGCAAAGACAAACAACTCACCCTTTGTGACCGCATAGGCTTCAGGCTCACCTAAACCTCTCAAAAATGTATGGATTAAGTAGTGGAAGGAACAGTACAGCTATTTTCAGACAGGGATGCCGTCAGAACAGCGTGTGTTGGTATACTGCTGCCCCCTGTCATTCAAACTGCAGCACATACATGTTCCATATGCTTTGTTCTCCCCAAGGACAGATACCTCCCGCCTCTTTAAGAGGAAAGGCTGGCCTGTTCTGTGTCAAACTTACCCAGACACATACGACTACAGAGCATTCAAACAGTGATAGCCCATCCAAGATGTGAACAAGCACAGTGTTTCAGGACACTAACCAAGCTTCTGGATGTCAAACTAGATGCAGACCTCCGTCCTGTTTTAAAAGATGGATTTTTCTCCTATCCCACTAAACAACTCACCGGATGTAGGATTCTCGCTTGCCACAAACAACACACAGGTTCTCTTTGACTGTCAGATAATAATCAACTTGAGACTCAGGACGTCCTGAAGGCTCAAACCGCAGCTTCACAACAAATGGGTCTGTGCTAACTAGCTCTGAAAAGGTAAAGGCAAATAGAGAATATTCAAGACAAATTTGTATCTGAAAGCTAAAATAATGATGCTAAAACACAGGAATCGTCCTAGTGAATACCCAACCATATTTTCGATACAAAAGAATACAAAAAAATTCATGCCCATTTATTGAAGAAACAAGGGAAAAAAGAAAGCTATATTTCAAATACCAACAGGAAAATTGGTATGCTCACCTCCAATTCCCTTGTCTAGATACCACTGAGCCTTCTTGCGATCACAAGTGCACAGGGGCTGTCCGTCTGGTGCATGCAGGAAGCAGTTGTCATACAGTGGAGATTTTCTATGAAACAAGGGCAGCATTACAGCAACTGTAACAGCATGCCAAAAAACAGAACTCTCTGTAGTCATGTGTTCCACACTGCAAATCATGCAGCCTCCTCCAAATCACAGGAGTGCCCCATAACACACACTTAAGGCCACTGAGCACTGCACAGGCTGCTGGTAAGGAAAGCAAAACATCTAAAAACTTATCTGGGGTTCACCAGCTGACCGTAAGGTATCTTTGCTCTCCTGCTGCCAACAGAATTGTAACTCTGAATCCCAGTTTTCAAAAGATACCATCAATAATGACAGCACTTAAAAAAAATTACATTAGAAAACAAGAGAGAACTGGAGTCAAGAAGGACGATGAGCTAAGAATAAGCTAAAAGACAGGCAAGGCAGTTTCAAGGATCAGCTGTCTGTCTGTATTTTAATGCTTTATTAAGGTGACTTTTCTAAAACTTTTTGTGAACAGCAGCTACCTCATTCATTCATGAGAAATGCTCCAAAAAGGCTCCTGCAGCACAGGGAACCCAAACACACGTCCATGAAGCTGAGCTGAGGCCCTCTGAAACACAGGCACCTAACCTGAGTCAGTGGTGAGAAGTCCTGCTTGAGCAGTCTCTGGTGGTTTGTGGCTGTGTGTGGAAGGGCTCTGTTTTGCAGAAAACCTTTCCTTATCCTACCAACCTCCTTCAAACAAAACTGAAGAGCGGAGCGGGCTGGGCTCAGAGAGCACGGGAGGAACTAGCCAGGGATACAGACATGTCAGAATACACTGTGAATTCCCTTTCTTCTCTCCAATGAGATCTTATCAGTAAGTACTCAGCAGAGCTCTACCAGCTAGAAAGGTTGAATCAGCGGCTATATAATCTGACAGAAGGATTTCTTCTGAGGTCCACAGAGGGTAACAATAATGATACAGAAGGTCTCCTTTCACTGAGCATCAGCAGTTCAGCTGATTTGAGTACTTTCCAACTCTAAATGATTAAACATTAAAACTAAACAGGAGTATAGAAAGAACGAGTGGAGAAGCACTTTTGAAATCATCAGTCTTATTACAGACCAGAGCCACACTGCTGGAGACACTGTAAAAAACAGTGGGTCTATGGATCTCTCATGAAGTCAAACATGGTTAAAAACAATAAATAAATAAACTAACACGAAGAGATCTCAATTTAGCTTGGAATGCAATTTTGTTTAAATTTTAATCCTCCAATGAGGTGCAGTCCTGTTTTGTATGGCACAGTCTTCAACAAACAAACAAAAAAATCTGGAGGGACTTGCTGGGTACAATGCAATACTGTTAATGACTGCTAATGAAATCAATATTATTGACTACACTAAAATGTCTCTATTGCCAATCCAATAAACTCGAAAAGGAGAAAAAAAATACTAAAATGACTGGTTTTCTTTCCAAATGGTAATTACAGACAATTTGAGTTCCAATATCCAGTGATAAACTTGATTAGATTGTACACAAACAAAACCAAACATACTAGCTCTCCATGTCTTTCACTGCATTGAGCTTAAAGAGACTTCTCCAACTTGTTTCAATTTAAAAGCAACTGAACTGTCATTAGCAAAAGGCCATAAGAATTTATGATTTGCTCCATAAAACCGCCAGCGGGGCAGGGAACCTGGATCCAGAAACATCTGCCTCTGCAAGACCAAAGTCATACTGTTCCCCCTCCTCTCCCTCCCTGGCCAACACAGAAGTGCAGTGCTTTTGATGCTGCCACAGGCTGCTCCTGTGCCCTCTGGCACCTCACATTAGGTGTCACACCCCTCCTAACCTTAGCCTTCAGCTCTGCTCAGTACCCTGACATCCCCGTGGCTGCAGTGACCTGGGGCAGCACAGTACAAACAGCAGCCCACGAGGTAGATCCTACTGAAAGGACAAGCTCTGTGCAGTTGCCACCTTTTTCCTGGAGGAGAGAGGGCACAGCTGCTTGGGCAGTAAATGCCACCCCGAAAGCCAACAGCCTCCAGCTAACGTTTCCAAGGGAGAAGGAAGGGCAAAAGCTGAAGACAAAACGCCTCAACCTGCTCATGACCTGGTACAGATCCAAGTGCTGCTTCCACTTTCAGTATCACCCTAGAGGGAAATGAGGAAAACAGAAACAGGATCTCGCTTCCATGACTGTTAGGTCCTGTATTTCCTTTCCTAGCTCATATTATCCACTTTGTTTAATGAATAGAGCATGAGCCATCATTCAGTGTTTTCCATCAGCGGTGCAAAGAGCAAAATGTGCTCACAGACTTACCGTGCAGAATATCCCATGCCCAGAGGCTTTCGCTTCTGCCTCCTCGGATCTCTCACTTGCTGACTGCCACAGGGCTGGCCATTCACTGAAGATTTCCGATTCTTTGTTTTCTGAGGGGAGCGACCTTCTGCACTCTTCTCCTCTCCTGTACTGCCACTCCTTCTTCCTTTAAACGGGATATCCACCAAGCCCCGGCATTTACCCAGTGCTTTTTCCCAAGCAGTGACAGATTTTTCACCTTCAGATATGGCAGGGAGGCTAGCAAATTCCAACAAATGGAGGAACAGAGCCACTGAGACCTGGGCATCCCTAGCAGCATAGAGAACCTGCAGAAAAGCATAGACACCAAGATACTGAAAAACAGCAAACACTCCCAAACATTATCAGTCTTTAACACTTGGTACAGTGGAGCCAGAAGCTGGATTTATTTCCTTTTGAAGTTCATGTGAAGTTCTGACAGTTGGGTGACACTTTCACATCACCACACCCCACATTTTTAGGGTCAGTCAGATTTGAAATACTCATGGATGCCCCCAGGAACCGCAAGGGACTGAAAAAAAATTCAAGTCAGTTGGGCCCTTAAATACCACCCTGCACCACCAAGCCCTCCCTAATAAAAAGTTCCCTTTTGACATACTGTCTAGGCATATTGTGTGGTTATTTATCCTGTCACTCCCTCTACTGGTCACTGATTTTGCAGACATCTGCAGCATGACTAAAGAAAGTGAGCAATCAGGGAAACCATAATGGTCTAAAGATGGTGAACAAGGTTTCCATGGTTTTTCTCTAATGACTGCTTGTCCTGGTTTTGGCTGGGATGGAGTTAATTTTTCTTCTTAGTAGCTAGAATACTAATGTGTTTTGGATTCAGTATGGGATTTGGTATGAGAATAATGCTGATAATACCCTGATGTTTTCAGTTCTTGTAAGAGATCAAGGACTTTCCAACTCCCCATGTCCTGCCTGAGTGCAGTTGTACAAGAAGCTGGGAGGGTGCACAGCAAGAACACCGGACCCAGACTGGCCAATGAAATATTCCATGTCATGTAACGTCATGCCCAGTATATAAAGGAGGGTTGGCTGAGAAGGTGAGGATTCTCTCTCGCTCCTGGGATTGCAGTTTGGGGATCCTGGTATCGCAGAATCACTAGCCAGCAATGAGCTGGGTCTCAGTCAGCGGGTGGTGAGTAACTGCGGTGTGCATTACCCATCTGTACCTTCTATTATTGTTACTGGTTTATTCTATCTCAACCTCAAGTCTCCCTTTATGCCTTCAATTTATTCTCTCATCCCCCAGGCAGGGGAGGATGAGCAAGCGGCTGCATGGTGTTTGGTTGTCGGCCAAGTTTAATCCACAACACTGCTACAGATTGGAGGAAAGAAAATAATAAAAATGTGAGGATTGGGTGCACAAAAACTTCTTTAAGGGATCTTTCCTTATAGATCTTTCAGGACTAAAGGGAAACAAGGGTCAAGAATCCAGGAAGAACAGCAGAAAATTATCTTCATGGAAGCGGAAGAAAATGCAGGCACGGAATCTGAAATTAACTTCAGACTACAATCATACATAAGGTTTTGAAACAGAACTCAAAGAAGCCTCAGATCCCCTTATTGCAATGCCTATTCTCTACTAAGAAGACTGCTTTTCTTCCCAAAACACTAAGTTGAAGTGAAAGACACACCTGATCTTGTGTCAGTTCTTCTGCCTCCCAGTTGCTGCAACGCACATGAGGAGACTTGTCAAGCGGGCAGTTCAGGACTTTTTCAGCTAAAGACTTAAGGCTAAGGCAGTTGTGAAGTAGATCCTTCCTTCAGTTTAACAAAGAAAGTGAAATAAACATATTAAAAACCAAACTATACCCCCATACAAATTCAGATGGCCTCATACACCCTGAACCTGCCAGAACACCATGCACATGATGCACTCCCACTCAAACAGCACACAGTTGCCTGTCAGCTTTATGGGCCCTCTCCCTCCCCTCTGCTAAAATGTCTTTTCTAGATTTAGTAATCTAGTGCCTGCAATATGTAAAACAGGCAAAGATGGGAGTTGGTAACATTTAAAGCTGAAGTGTTTGGTTCTGAACTACCCACTTTCAAACTGAAGAGGTCTATTACAGAGTGATGGACCGCCTGCCCCAGGGATTCATGAGGAGCATGAGAGCCAGGAACCACTTGGAGGAATCCTTGCCACTAAAGACAAGAAGTCCATCCTCAGTGCTAAAAAGGCACCATCGGGTCAGCAAACCCATGCCCCAGATGACTAATAGCACACCCAGCCATACATATACAGTACATGAAGAATACTCCCAAGTAAAACAGTTTATTTTAGCAAGAGTGAAGGATGAGAAAATGGCATCATAGTTTTAACATTTCAGTGAAAGTATTGTTATTTATGGAGAAAAATAGAACTGGTTTATTTAGTAATTTTTCAATAAATCCTGTAATTCAACAGTTCCACTTACAGGGAACCCATGGCACATTTTCTTCTAGGCAGCTGACATGGTGATCACTCTCACTGCATTACATCACTGTGCCTGGACTTCTTAAAAGCTGAAACATGGTACTGCTGGAGAAGACTAACGGGCACAATTAGCATATGAAATCTTCATAGAGATTTCATTTCCATTAAGACCATAGAACAGAAGCTTGTGGTGTTCTTGGGCTGCCATTGTCAACAGCCACTAAACCTAAAGTGGTCTAAAATCACTTTGAGAACTCCAGATCTACCTGCCCGGTATCCTTCAGCATATGCAAATTACTTTAAAAATATTTTCAACTCAAGTGATGCTTCAAACAGAGATGCCTCTGTCTTCAGCCACTCACCGCTGTCTCATGGCTAAATACCGGAGATCCATGCTTCCTTTGACTGGAAGACCATAATCATGAAGTAACTTGCAAGCATCTTCCCAGCATCCTACCCCAACTTTCAACACAGCACTATCTGCCATGATGTCCAACAGGGTCTGTGGGAAAGTCTGTCCACTGGCAACAAGTCTGGGCAACCGAACAAGAACGCAGAAGCCACTGGAAGAAGCCATCTGCAGGAGGGATACAGGTTTTGCTTTTCCCTCTACAGATACCTGAAACAAAGACAAAAATCAGCGTCTGGGTTACACTATCATTAGCAATACTGGAGCTGGAACAAATTGGAAAAGAGGCCACTGAAGATCTCTGAAATACCTATCAGTTCATACAGTCAAGTATTGTCACATCTCTCAAATTTTACTGCAAATTATTTGATCTGTTTCACAGTATTACTGTCCCAAAGCTACTTCTTGCCACAATCCTACAAAATAAACTTTCCCCCTTTTACCCTTCCCCCTCATAGCTGAGCTGGAGGAAGAAATCAGACACATTTCTTAATCCACATCAGCACAATGCCATAAATATTTATGTAGTGGGTGACTAACACATTGTTTAACTGTGGTTTATACTAATGACTGGGGTAAATAAATTTCCAGCCAAAATAATGGCAAAGCCAGGTTTTTATAAATGACTCAAAGCCTGTTTTGAGAGTTCGCACAGGCAAACGTACAAGCAGAAGAGTAACTTTGCTTTCTGATAGTCCCATTGAGTTACAGATCAGCATTATCCTCCCTTTTGGATTATTATGCTTAAACAATTGTTTCTTAAGGATATAGCTGGATTTAAAATAGTGTAAACCCAAGCATATTCGAGTAAATCGCCTTTAAAGAGATATTATACAAAACACATGATTATGTATTTAGCCATACAATTATCGCTATGTTTGGTACAGTCAGTTTATCACACCGAGTACAGTAAACTAATAGAACTAGTGAATTAAAAATTTAAACGTGAGAACAATCAAAATTAGCAGCTACTTCACGGCCATCATGACAGATGATCACACCGGCAAGTTTCAACAGTCCTGTTGTATCCATTTAAGCAAAGGAACACTCCACCCTCAATGATTTCCCGTTGCAATTTGCAATCTAAAAGAGAGGCACTTCTTGATCACTCACCCACTCACAATCAATTCCAAGCACTGGCCACTTCTCCAGCTCCTTCTTCAGGAAAGGTTCAACACGATCCCAATCCTCCTGCTCTGAAACTATCACTATGTCTGCACCAGGGGTCCTCTCTACCCAGGAAAAGGTGGGAGATCTGAAGAAGGAAAGCACCTCCTTATCCTCTGCCTTTATCAGTTTATCGTCTCCCGAGTTTGTAACAGCTTCCTCTCGCTGACTACTACATGCTTTTCCTTTTCGACGCTGGGTTGCTTTCCACAAAACCAGGCCCCCCACTGCAACACCCAGCAGGGTCGCCAAAGTAATCGTCACTGCTGTTTGCTTGGGCATTTTTTTTTATTCCCCTTTTCCCCCCTTCACTTCACCCACTCAAAACGGCATTGTAGGATTTTATCATGGCCTGCAAAGAAAAATGAGAGAGGTGGAAATTAAAGACAACTTAATGAAATGTGTTTAGAGGTATTAAATACACCCACTGGTGTAACAAGGTTCTAGCCACACCTCGTGATCCTGACAGGTAACGGACTGGGTCCCACTTTGACAGACTGGGGTTCAGAAGACACACTGCTCCAGTGGTGGACTGGGCAGTATCAGGAGACCGAATGCTGCTGTTGATCACACCACCAAAAACCGAACAGGGCATCTACTGATTGATACCGGTGCAACTGGATACTTCCAAAAACTCATTATATTCCAAAAATAAACTAGTCAGGGCTATCACCAACATCTTTAAGGTTGGTCTAGTTCTAAACAGCTAAACAAGGCCAAGATGAAATTACTGCAGAATAAGCATGTCCATTCATGCATTAATAAATAACGGGCATTATCCATTACTTTCTCACTAAGGTCAGACGGCTCTTCAGGCATTAAAAAGCCCTAAAGAAGCAGCATCTACTTACAACATAGTCTTCGCTTTATGATACAAAAGCTCAGCTTCCCTTCAGTAAAATGAAATCAGCCCGCTCCTTCAGCCCCATCTCCCCAGCCCACGGTGTTATTTTTAAAGTTCTTCAACACAAGCAGAAGCTGCGGCGTTGGTGCCACCACAGCCCCACGCAACCGCTGACAGCATCCAGGCCACGGACGCCTGCCCCAAGGCTTGTGAAGCGACAGGTCATTTCCTCTCATTTCTTAAACTCAGCGAGAAGACTGAAAGCAACGCGGCCACCCGCACCGACGGCCTCTGCCCCCGGTCCAACTGCGGCCACCTCTTCGGGAACCGGGGCCCTCTGATCCGGGCAGCCCGCGTGTGCGGATCCCCCCACCCCGCCCCGGCAGGAGAAGCCCCGGGCCGGACCGAGGAGGCGCCGGGGGCGGCGTGGG